TGTAACCACAACCTCAGGAGTTCTATTTGAAGGCAGCATAATATACAATATGTACCTCATCACCACCACCAACACGATATGAGTGTCTGACTGGCGTTTACAAAAATGAAAGCGGTGGTTCATTGAAGCATTCTCTCTCTGTCCCCTGCCTAACACACATGCATACTTAAGAGTACAGTACATACACACAGTGGTCGCTCTTGGGTGCTAAAAGCAGGTGAGTCACCCGTGTGCAGAGGCAATTAAAATCTCTGTCACATTGTGATGTCACCAGCTGCCTTTCCCCCAGACACTAACTCTGAGTTGTGTGCCTTTTAAAGATCAACGGTTCTCTCAAAAATATGCTCAGGGGTTACTTCCGGAGTCTGTTTATGTGCGACGGGGGAGATGACAGATCACTGGCTATCAGTGTATGTGTACACACATGCTCAGTAGTCATATACTGTACATCAAACAAACACTGTCCCTTTAAGCCATTTCCAGCCATGTTTTGTTTGTTGTGCTGTGAGAGAGACTGTTATATTTACAGCGGTACATTTTTTGGTAGCTCAAATAGATTAAAAAGCAAAAAAAAGAGTCATTTGTAGTAACAATAGTAGTAGGACACAAGGACTACACACCTCTGTATTAACTCCTTTTCACTTTCTGAACTCGTGGTGATATGCATACGCGTAACCATGGTTACCACATGACCTTGTACAGACAGCTTATACATATCACTTCCTTGACAGTTCAAAGACAGAAGATGGATTTAATAGTAGTTTTTCTTTTAAATTCATGCTAACATAACATATTTGGTCCATTTTGCTTTCACACAGTCACACAGTGACAGTTTATTGAGAGCTATCACACCAGCCCAAATGCACTGAACCGAACTGGCAAAACGGCTAAAACCGAACCAGGTTCAGGTTAGGCGTGACAGCTCCCTGGGACCAGAACACAGATGTTCTAAGAGACTTGAAACCCTTATCCTTAATGAAACAGGAGGACACAAACTGTTTTTTCCACTCAGCTTATCTTGTTTTTTTGTGCTGCGCTATGATGCAACAAATACAAATTGTCCCTTCATTGACATTTCTGTCAGTCTGCCACTGTTTCAACAGGGCAAATAGAATAAGTTAATTAGTATGTCTAATTGCATTTGGTGGCTCAGCTTTGGGAATATCAAATCAAATTAGGATACTCAGTGTTCTTTTTCCATGGCACACGGTTTGCCTTAAGCTATGCTTTTTAGGATCTGTCTTTTGTCTTTGTCTCTATCTTTCTTAACGTCCCTTCCAGCTGTACTACGCCTTCGCTTTGTAGTCTATCCTCTTCTCATCGTCCACCCACACTTTCTTTTTCTTTTCTTCCTGTTTTTGGATCTCATTCATTTTTTCCCCCATCTTACAATTTCTTCAGCTTCATCTCTTAATAAACAGTTTTTTCTCTTAATGATAATAAAAATCCAAAATAAAATAAATAGAAGTTGTTAATCCAATAAACAGCCAGTCAATGCTATAAAAACTTTTTGTTGCCTGTTGATGATGTAACCGTCGGTTTTAAGCATTATGGGATATTTAAACCCATTTTCTTATTAAAATATAAGTGTTATTTTCCATTAGGAGGGACATCATATTACATTTTGACAACTTAGCCCAGCAGCTATACCACTTTATTTAAAACCCTTTTTATTCAACATTTAAAAAACACTATATCAACATTTAATTGAATTTTTTTAAATTATATTATTTGTTTGGGCTTTTATTGCCTTTAATCAATAGTGACAGCTGAAGAGTGACAGAAAAGAGAGGGGGCCAGACATGCAGCAAAGGGCCATAGGTTGGAATCAAGCCCAGGCCACTGCGGTAAGGACTCAGCCTTTGTACATGGGGTGCATGCTCAACCAGGTAAGCTACCATGCCACCTCATAATGAATGGTTTATAACACACTACATAAGGTATAATTATGTGTAAATTGATGCAGTTGCGAACCACTTTAACTCCTTCTGTAAAACACCTATAACTGGATGCTGATATATAAAAAGGTAATAAATGACTACAGTTGTAGTAATATAAAATATGTCTTCATAGCAAAAGTTATAATTGTTGAAAGTGCTGTCAATTAATAAACATTTAAAATGTCTTTATACCTGCTTATAACTGCAGTATATGATTATATACGACTTATAGATGATAAGTGAGGGGTTAAAATAAAGTGTTTTTTTAGACATTATTGGTTATTGGTTAAAATTAGTTTTAACCTTATATTCCAACTTTTCTGTCTCTATAACTTCTTCCTCTTCCTCCTCATCTTC